TCATCTAGTCCAACCTACACACACACACACACACACACACAAAGTGTAAGATTTTTACTTTTATCTCTACTGAATTTAATCTTATTAGGTTCAGCCCAAATCTGCCAAAATCTGTTTGCATCCTCATTCCATCATCCAGTATGTTAATGGTCCTTCACCAGGTTTAAAATTTGATGTAAATTTAGCAATCTATAAATTTTTGATGATCACGGATCTATACTTTTATCCAAGTCACTGATAAAGAATATGAAACAGCTTTGTGCTAAGCACAGATCCCTGGGGCACTCCACTGGAGACTTCCTGCCAAGCTGACATTGAATCATTGTAGAAGAAAAGCTCAGCACCCTGCTATTTTAGCACAAGACTACCAGGAACAAATTTATCAATTAAACCCCAAGCCTCTCTGCTGAGAGAAATAAAAACTCAAAGGGACAGAGATCCATCCCACTTTTGAAAATCTCTGAAATACAAATAAAAGAGCTTTAAGAGCCCATATGATGAGCAGCTTACCAAGAGTCCTTTTTATTTACAATTTTTTATGGTTCATAAGATCTTAGATTTAGAGCTGGAAGGGACCTTAAAGTCCAACCCCCTTATTTTACAAGTGAGGAACTGAAGTACAGGGAGGTATGTGACTTGGCCAGGGTCACACAGCTAATACTTATCTGAGGCATTTGAAGAACAAAGACAAAATTAATTAATGAATTCTTAATAGTAACTTAACTTCGGCACACCCTGAAGATTCATTTTCCTAAAATCATTTGATCTCTCTCTAAGCTCTAAGGATTTCTTTTTCAACCTGGTCAAAGGTGAACCCAAGAGATGCTTCTATTAATTGAATTAATCAAGAGAAGTTCTAGCTTTTAGTCTGATCATGACCTTAATCAATTTCAGGGAGGATTCCTTCCTATGCTCCTTCTTCATTTAGAAAATGATCAGGCCTGGGATAAGAACAGAACAAAAAGATGGCCACGTGGGGGACTATTTCCTCTGGACTGATAGTTAAAGAAAGGCTGATGAGGTTTCTCTTTCAGTTTAGACCCAGGATTTCACTGACATGCTATACTATGCTAATAGGTCTTAATATTTTCCTCAAGTGAGAATGATGGCGGGAAGTGCTTCTACTCCATTCAATAAACGGTTTGGCCGTCCAAGCCGTTCTAAATCTACTTAATTGTCTTGGTGTCTAGTCCACATATCTCCATCTTTCCCACAAAAATGGGATGAGACACATTATCAAAAGTTTTGCTAAAACCTAAGTGAACTCTATCCGTGGCATCTCCGAATCTGCTAATTTAGTAATCTTGTCCAAAAAGCAAAGGAGGGGAGTCTGGCATGACCTGCTGCTGATGGAGCCGGGATTGACTTTTTGTAATCACTGATTTCCTTTCTAGACGGTCTCCAATCATCTCTTTTTGGGGCAGCTAGGTGGTGTGGTGGATAGAGCCATGCTTGGAGTCAGGAAGATTCATCTCCTGAGTTCAAATCCAGCCTCAAACACTTATTAGCTGTGTGACCCTGGCCAAGTCACTTCACCCTGTCTGCCTCAGTTTCCTCATCAGTGAAATGAGTTGGAGAAGGAAATGGCAAGCCATTCCAGTATCTCTGCCATGAAAACCCCAAACAGGCTCACGAAGAGTCAGACACAACCGAACAACAACCATCTCTTTATTTTTTTGGGGGGGGGGGGCTAGGCAATGGGGTTAAGTGACTTGCCCAGGGTCACACAGCTAGTAAGTGTTATGTGTCTGAGGCCGGATTTGAACTCAGGTCCTCCTGAATCCAGGGCCAGTGCTCTATCCACTGCGCCACCTAGCTGCCCCCAGCCATCTCTTTAGTAATGCATCCTAGCATGTCCCAGGAATTGATGCCTGCAGATTCTACTCTTCCATTTTTTTCAAATCTGGACAACTCTGGCCATTCTCCAACCTTGTGGTACCTTTTCTATTTTTCATGATCTTTTCCATATCACTGACAGCGATGGTTGGTTCTTTCAGCACCTGGGTCAGAGACTTGACTTTATCAAGGTCAGCTCTATTCTTACCTTGAGTATCAACTCTCTGATAATTATTTTTGTTTTGTCATTTTCAGTGCAAAAGTCATTCCTTTTGGCAAAAAACAACCAAAGAAAATCAGAATTAAGCCAGCTTTTCTCTCTGTTGTCTGTGGCCATTGTCCTGGCCACTCCAAGCAAAGGTTCAATCACTTCTTTGATCCTTTCCAATGCAGCTTTTTTAGGGGCAGCTAGGTGGCGCAGTGGATAGACACTGGCCCTGGATTCAGGAGGACCTGAGTTCAAATCCTACCTCAGACACATAACACTTACTAGCTATGTGACTCTGGGAAAGTCACTTAACCCCCATTGCCCAGTCAAAAACAAACAAAAAAAAACCAATATAGCTTTTTTAAAAAAACCATTTTGTCTTTAGCTTCTTTTGCCAGCTTCGGTACTCTTGATACTACTCTTATAGGATAGAGTCATAGTCCTACATTCATCCTCTGTTCCCTGGTCTTGTTTCCATCTTTTGTATATTCTTTTAAAAAATTAAATTGATTGGTGAGTTCCCTGTGTATCCATATCTGTCTGTTCAGACAAATATTGCTGGAATTGTTTCACTGTGTGTCTTCAGAATTTTATTCTCCTAGACTGACTTCCCCTAAAGCATCTCGATCCATGACATCCTTCCCATCCTTCCAGCTAACCCTTTGAAATCTACTTTCCCAAAACTTAGGGGGTGCATGTCAGGCTATGCCCAGATTTCCCCTCATCTTCTATCACAAATTCTAGGAGGGAGTAGTCACTTCCTCCACAAGGTTCCCATCATTTCCATTCCAGCTACCAGTTCCTCCCTGTCAGTGAAAATCAAATCCATAATAGAAATCCCCCTTTTTGTTTCCTCCTGCTCTCATAGGCTGAAATTGTCAGCAAAGTGAGTCAAAGAGCTATTGCTTGCTCTGCTTTTGCCAGGGAGAGAGCTCCAGCAGATGTTTGGGTAATTGAAGTCCCCCATCACTGCTGTGGCATGCCACTCTGCCTCTCCATCTATTTCTTATTTCTGTCTAGGCAGTCTGCAGTCTATTCCAAGGACAACAGTGCTTTAGTTTCTTCCTCCAGTGACCTTTACCCAAATACTTTGAGGTTCTCCCATGTGCTTCCTGGATTTCCTCACATGAGTAGACCATCTTAATATACAATGCTTCTTCTCTTCTACCCATCCTATTTCATTTGAATGAGGCATAGCCATCCAGAGCCACAATTCAGTCATGGGTTTCACCCCCCTGAGTCCTAATGGCACCCAGGAGGTCAAACTTGTTTTCTTGTGTCAGGACCTTGAGTTCCCTTTGTTTGGTGCCTAAACTTTGAGCATGTGTATGAGAATATCTGAGGCCATGAATTTGACCGTTGGCTCCTTTCTTGGATTTTTGTCTCCTGTGAACTTCTGAGTCTTGGATTCTAATGCTCCTCTTCCTTTTTTGTAGCTACTATCTAAAGCAGGGATTCTTAACTTTGAGTCCATGGACTTCCATAATGTCTGTGGATAGATTTCAGGGAGCCTGTGAATTTGGATAGAAAAGAATTATATCTTTATTTCTACTAATCTAACTGAAATTTAGTATTTTCTCCAACCATGAATTTTGAAAAAACCATTATTCTAAGAAGGGATCCGTAGCCATTACCAGCCTGCCAAAGGGGTCCAGGATACCCAAAGGGTTAAGAACCCCTGTTCCATAATATCTCGCTTAGGGGACAGTCTCCTACCTCCTTCATCCTTTATAGTTTCAAGTCCTTTTGATTAGACTTGCCCACTTTTGTTAGGTGCATTCTGTCTCTGGCTAGACACTTGCTCTTCACTTCCCTTGATTAATTTTTCTCTTCTGCATCTCTTGGCTGTGTTGCATATCAGTGAGGAAAATAGCCTGTCCCCTTACGGGCTTCAGTTTCTGCCCAAGACTTCATAATTGTTGATGATATGTTTTAGGCTCCTTCTGAAGGGTATCATTTGTGCTGAATTACCAGAAGTTGGGAGCTGTCATCAGTTTTGATAAGTCTTGGAAGGTTCTCTGTTCTTTGGTGGAGACATGCCCCAGGAAGGTCACAGACCTTGCTAGTTCTATTATCTTGTAAAATACTTGGAATCTTAAAGTGCTATGTAAATGATAGCTATTATCCAGCCCTCTGCCTTTACGCCTTTTGTGGATGCTTACCTGGGAGTGTCTGTGGTCCTGCTGAATCATTCTTGGGAGCCCACATGACTTCTTCCTCAGAGCATCCAGTTCCTTCCTTTTCAGGGAGAGCCACAGATCTGGGTTTAAAGCTTTGGTTGTGCGGGTGCCTTTGGCCTTCCATTCCCCTCCCTTGGGTAATCCTCTTTGGTGCTCCATCATCCTGACCAGATTCACATCTCCCCTCCTCTCCTCCTAACCCACAGAAGCCTCCCTTCTCTTTCCTTCTGCCTTCATTCCCCCTGACAATGTGGAGGCTGAAGAGCCATTCCTCAAGCCTTTCACCTTCTCCTCCAGGGAGGTCACCCTACACTGGGAGCATGGACGACAGTTACTTGGCTGTGGCAGAAAAACACATTCGGCACAAGCCATTGCGTAGTGCACTCTGCCCTCCATATTGGTGGGAATTGTCTCCCTTGTTTCTTAACCTACTTGTGGGTGTTTACAACTCAACTCTAAGCACTTGGTTAAAACTTTTACAGACAATCGTCATCTCTGAATAACTCGGCAGCCCCTATATTCAGTTTCCCCCCTTAGTCCCAACAATACCCATATCCTCTTCTGCCAGCTTGCCCCAGCTTTTTTCATCAGTTTGCTGCCCCCTCTTTCACTCTATCGCTTTGCTTTACTCTCCACTTGTCCCACACGCCTTTTCTTGTTTACCTCGTCTTGCCTTGCCAACGACCTTCTCCATCTTGAGTCCACCTCTTCATGCTCTACTTCACCCTCCTTAATATTTTTGTGTTCTCCTTAATGTTCTTGACTTTCCTTTCCAGTGCTATGAGACGGGGCTCATGTCCCAGTATGTCAAGTCCTGGAAAGTTGGCGATGCAGCATTTTGGCGAGGACCTTTTGGAGGCTTCCCCTACAGAGCGAACCAGGTGAGTACAAGATGGGGGCTGGCGTCATGGCCCTTGAGATTTCTTCCTGAGCCACATGAGAAGAAGTCACCACACAAGTAGCTTTTAAGCTTCTCCTAGGGAGTGGAGGTGTTTCAATATGTTCATAACGAGCAATTAGTGTTTGTTTATGTTATAATTTTAATCTAAGTTTATTTTTATAAAAAAAAGCAAAATCCTTTTAATCCTGTCCTTTCTGTTCCTGAATCTCAAGGATCCTTGCATTCTTGGGGGCTGAGAGACTGGCAGGTGATGGAGTGGATACAAATTAAAATGTCTGTCACTTTCTTTTCAGGGAGCCCAGAGATCAGAAATCATCTGTATAAAGCTGGAAGAGACCTGGGGGCTTATCTAGTCCAACAACCTCATTTTACACCTGGGCCCAGAGAAATTAAGAGACTTGCCCAAGGTCACATATGTAGAAGTAGCATGTCTAGGATTTGAACCCGGGTTCTCTCATTGCAAAGCCAAATCTCTAACCACCGTACCACACTACCTCTTGTGCAAACCTTTCCAAGGGTCTAGAGCAGGAGTTCTTTACGTTTTTGTGTGTCCCGCACCCGTTGGGCAGGCAGTCTGGGAGAAGGCTGACTGTGTAGGTTGGAGCCAGGTGATGGAAGGCTTCAAATTCCATAGTCAGAACGGCTCCAGTGGGGAACCACAGGAGGTTTTGGGGTGAGGGACGGCATGATCTTAGCAAGGCATTAAAGCAATTGATTCTGGCAGCAGGGCCAGGGCCAGGACAGATAGAAAGCAATACAAGAGGTCCCTGTAGATTTGAAGGTCTTCAGTCAGTCAACAAGAATTTATTAGGTGCCTACTGTATACTAGCCACTGGGCTACGTCCTGGGGATAGAAAGCAAGGCAGAAACAATCCCTGTTCTCAAGGAGCTCACGTTCTAACGGGGGGCAGCAAGCAAATGGATAGCGTCTTGATGCCCACTTGCCACCAAGGCTGCAGGTTGGAACTGGTCCTCTGAGGGCTCTTCCAGCTTCCATCTGCTAGAATTCTTTTCCTTAGGGAGGTGGGAAGAGAAGGGGAGCAGGCTTTCCACAAAGACAGGCAGAGAATGGGGAAGGAGTTGGCTCGTTAAGCTTGGCCCAGGAGGACAGAACTCAGAACAAGAGGGAGGAAGCACAGGGAAGCCAATTTCTATTTGGTAGAAGGAAAAATGCCTAACTACCAGAGTTAATAGGCTGCTTTGGAGGGTAGTGAGCTCTCCATCCTTGGAGGTCTGAGCAGAGTCTGGTTGACCACTTTTGAGGCTGCCCTATAAGGAATTCCTACTGTGAATGAGGGATAGACCAGATGGCCTCTAAGATTCCTTCTGGCGCTCAGATTTTGTGATGAAACACAAGGTTTCAAGGCTCAGACTAGCTTTGTTCTAGGAGTCCAGCAGAGGGGATGAAGGTGTTCAGGAAGCTGCTGTCTGTGGAGTGCTTATGGTTTATAAAACACCTTGTAAACACCATTGCCTTCCATCTACACACACCTTCCTACAAATAGCTGCTAAAAGGATTTTTAATAATATTTTATTTTTTCCCAATTACATATAAAGACATTTTTAATATTTGTTTAAAAAAATTTTTGAGTTCTAAATTGTCTCCCACCCCCCCCAGATGTGAGATAATAATCAATTTGATATAGGTTATTCATGTGCAATCATGCAAAACATATTTCCATATTAGTCATGTTGTGAAAGAAAAGACCAAAAAAAACCCCCCAAAAAGTGAAAAATAGTCTGCTTCCATCTGCATTCAGACTGCCTCGGTTCTTTCTCTGGAGGTGGATAGCGTTTTTCATCATGAGTCCTTTGGAATTGTCTTAAATTGCTGTATGGCTGAGAATCAGGGAGTCATTCGCGCCTGATGGTCGTACAATGCTGCTGTCACTGTGTACAATGTTCTCCTGGTTCTGCTCATTTCGCTTTGCATCAGTTTGTGTAAGTCCAGGTTTGTCTGAAGTCAGCCTTCTGGTCATTTCTTATAGCACAATAGTGTTCCAGTACAGTCATATACCACGACTTGTTCAGCCCCAGTTGATGGGCATCCCCTTAATTTCCAATTCTTTGCAACACAAAAAGACCTGCCGTAAATATTTTTGTACAAATAGGTTCTTTTCTTTAAAAGGATCTTCTCAAAGCACAGATCTCAGTAGCTTCCCTGAATCCTTCCAGGGTCGAATCCAGACTCCTTTGTTTGGCTTTGAAAGCCCTTCCCAACCTGGCCCAACCTTCCCGTCCAGGTTTATGGCACGTTATTTCCCCTCACTCACTCTGTCACAGCCGAGCTGACCCTTTGCTGTTCCTCTATGGGGTATTCCCTTTCCCCTCTCTGCTCTTGCACAGACTGGCCCCGATGCCTGCAATGCTCTCCCTCTTCACTTCTGCCCCTTACGATCCCTACCTGCCTTCAAAGATCAGCTCAATGACCACCTCCTCCAAGAAGCATTCCTTGTCTCTCCCCCAGAAACTTGAGACATAATTTTGTACATTCTTAGATGTGAATGTACTGTTCTCTCCCTTGTTAGAATGGAAGCTCCTTGAGGACAGGAACTGTTTCAGTTTCGTCTCTGTGTCCCCATTGCCAAGCACAATGTCTGGCACATAGTAGGCACGTCGTTTTGCAGGTGAGGAAACTGAGGCCCCCAGAAAGGTGAGACAGCTTGCCCCAAGTCACAGCAGTGAGCATCAGAGGCAGGGTTTGAGCCAGGGACTCTGAATCCCAAGTCAGGGCCTTTGTCCTGTACCAAAGGACAGGAAGGGAACAGGGGGCAGGGTGGGGAGAGTGCCTGGAGGGGTGGGAGCTGAGCGGCTGGCATGGCCTGCATTTTCTGTTAAGGTATTTGGTTCTCTCTCTGTTTCTGTTTCTCTTTCTCTGTCTTTTTCTCTCTCCATCCCCTCCCTCTCTCCTCTCTTTTTCTCTCCTTTTTCTCACTCTCATCTCTGTCTCTGTCTCCCCCTTCTCGCTCTCTCTCTTCTCTCTCCATCTCTGTCTCTCTCCATCTCTGTCTCTCTCTTCTCTCTGTCTTCTCTGCCTCTGTTTCTCTCTCTGTCTCTCCCCCTCTCTCCTATCTTTCTTCCTCTCCGTTTCTCTCTCCTCTGTCTCTCTCCTTTTCTCTCCTCTTGCTCTCCCTTCCCTCTCTCCATCCTTCTCTCTGTCTCTCTCTCTCTCTCCTTTGTTTCTCTCCCTTATCTCTCTGTCTCTCCCCCTCTTTCTTCTCTTTCCCCCCTTTCCCCCAGTATGGTGAGCTTCTCATGCTGGCCGCGGGCACTGGCCTGGCGCCCATGCTGCCCATCCTGAAGGAGATCACAGACAATGAGGAGGACGAGACATTCCTCACCTTGGTCAGCTGCTTCAAGACCTTTGAGGGCATCTACCTGAAGCCCCTCCTCCAGGACCAGGCTCGCTATTGGAACGTTCGGACCTTCTTCGTACTCAGTCAGGTGAGGCCAGATGGAGGAAGGGGGAGGGATCCCCACCAGTGGACGATGAGCAGATGGGAGATTATCCCCAGGCCGAGCCGCTCACTCTCAGCCATCAGGATCTGTCTGAAAAGCCTGTCCAGCCTCTGGCTTCACTAAAAGAGACCTGGTTCTAAAGTCATGGGACCTGTGTTCAAAATCCGAACTCTGCCTCTTATAGCCTGGGTGACCTTGGGTGAGTCACTTCCTTTCTCTCATCAGTCTCCTCTATAAAATGAGGGGGTTGGACTAAATGACCCCCAGCGTCTGTTCTAGCCCCAAATCTATTATCTCTCTGAGAGGGAAACTGAGGCTGAAAATTCTTCCTCTGGTGCCCCTAGGGTTGCAGATTTAGACCTGAAATGGGACCTTGGGATTAGTTTAGTCGGGCTTCTTCATTCGATAGCTGAGCCAGGGGATGTAATGGATGATTTACTAGAACACAAGTTCAAATCCTGGCTCAGACCCTGACTAGCCGTGTGAACCTGGACAAGTCCCTTACCCTCTCTCAGCCTCCATTTCCTCATCCACAAAATGGGGATCATAAAAGCACCTCCCTCTCAGGGTTGTCACAAGGATCAAATGAGATAACATACGTGAAGTGTTTTACAAACCTTGAGGGACTTAAAGCTCATTTTACAGATGAGGAAACTGAGGCCTTGGGAGATAAATGAAGGAAAGGAAAAAACAAGCATGTGTTAAGAACCTAATATGTGCTAGTCACTGTACAAATATTAAATCTCATTTAACAACCCTGAAAGACGGTGCTATTATTACGCCCATTTTACAGATGAGGAAACTGAGGCAAACCGAATTTAAATGACTTACCCAGGGTCACACAGCTAGTAAGTGTCTGAGGCAGGATTTGAGCTCAGACCTTCCTAACCCTGAGTCCAGCCCTTTGTCCACTCTGCCACCTGCTCTGACTGGTCCCAGTGCTGTTCCAGCTGGTAGAGCCCTGCATTATAACTGAACTGGGCATCAAGAGGCCCAGGTCTGCTTGCCCTAGCCCCACCCCCTCAGCAGCTTTGTGACCACAAAGCCCAGCCAGCAGCTGGGTCTGGAACCAGAAGGGCCTTCCAGGCCCCAGCTCTCCCATATTACAGCTAGGGAAACTGAGAGGGAGCATGTAGACCCTAGATTCACAGATGTGAAGAAGCCTAGAAGCCCCCTCTTCCAATCTGGTTTTACAGAAGGGGAGCTTAAGCCCTGAGAAGTTAAGTGACTCGGCCAGGGTCTCACAGCTAACAAACATTAGAGGGGAGGTTTGAATTTACCCCAGAGCCAGTGCTTTCCCCATCCCAGGCTGCCAGTGGGGAAGGCCTTTGGGTAGGGGTGCAGGGACAGGATGCCTGGCACATCCAGAGGCTCGTTACTGGAAAGCTGGCCGGCTGGTTCATTTCTGGCCGCAGTAACTATGAAGCTGCTGGGGATGGGGCAAGGCATGAGGGGCAGCCGTGGGGAAAGCTTTGGCTAGAACTTAAGAGACCGTGAAAGGGAGTAGGATGAGAAAAAACTGCAAGGGGCCTGGGGTGCTAGGAGGGAGGAGAGAGCCTTGAATGCCAGAATGAGAAGTTTGTCCCCTCGCAGGTGGGAGGCGATGGAAGGCCTGAGCGGGGAAGGCTGCAGCTTTGAGAAGCAGCCCCTGCGGCCTGGCCTCCTCTGTCTAATGAGGGCTTGAACTAGCTGGCCTTCCAGCTCAAAATCCCCTCCCTGTGCCTCAGTTTCCCCACTTGCAGAATGAGGGGCTCGAGCTAGGCCCTTTCAGGGCCAAGTTTGTGACTGCGCTCAGTGACCAGGGGAGGGGACACCAGCCGCTCACTCATCTCACCAGGTTCCCTGTGGTTTTCGCAGGAAGCTTCTCTGGACAAACTGCCCTGGAGCTACCAAGAGAAGACCCACCTGGGCCGTCTAAGCCAGGCGCTGGTGCAGGAGCTGGTCGACTCCTGCCGGAGGAAGCCCTTTGCCCTGGTCTGCGGCCCACCCGAGTTCGTTAGCGACATGGCCTTGTGTTTGCAGGGGGCCGGGCTGACCCAGGGGTCCTACTTCCTGTTTTAGCACCGGCCGGCCATGGAAGGAGCAGAGAAGCCGGAGAGAGGACGTCACAGCCCATCCCTCCGACCCCGTCGTTACGGCCGAGGAGAGGGTGGCCCAGGGAGGTTAGAGCTTTGGGTCAAGGTGGCGGCGTTAGAGGAAGCAAACGCTATCACAGAGGAAAGAACACCGGAGCCAGAGGCAGAGGACTGGAGTTCACATCCTCCACAGCAAACACCCCTCAAGAGGGGTGACCCAGCTTCCACTTGCAGACCTGTAGTGATGGGCAGCTCATCGTCTCCCGAGGCAGTCCAATTCACAGCAGGCCAGCTCCAGGTTATAGAAAATTCTTCCTGACACCGACCTGAAGTCTGCCCCAGTCCATCTACTCATTGGTCCAAATTCTACCCTTTCTCCTTGAGGTCCTTAAAGACAGCTCTCCTGTGCCCGATGAGCCTTCTCATCCCCAAGCCGAGCTTCTGGGGTCCTTGCGTAGTCTTCACACGCGGCATGGTCTCTGCCCATTGCCTTTAATTCTGCCTTCAGGGCCAAGCTCAGAATCACAGGATCTCAGGGCTGGGGAGGGAAGCCAGGGGCCGCCTCGTCTAATTGCTGCTACCTGAACGGGAATCAACAACGCCCCTGACAAGCAGTCATCATCCTGCTGTGTAATACTTCTAGTGACGGAGACCTCATTACCTCATGAGGCGGCCCATTCCAGGCTCGGACAGTTCTGACGGCTAAAACGATGTGTCCTGGTTTCAGGCCAAATGATCAGCTTCTCTGTGCCTTGCCCCGCTTGTTTCTGGGCATAGGGCATTGATGGGGGCACAGAGGGAGCCTCAGTGTTGTGGGAGGCATGGGTTAGGGAGGAGGGAGTAGAGACAAACTGCTCATTCCACGGCATTACCATCGGCCACCATGTCTTCAGATCTCCCAGGAATGGGGGAAAGCCCAGTGGATTCACTTAGAAAAGGACTCTTGAGCTCCTGAGAGGTTTCTCCTGTGAGCGAGTGGTCATAGGTCTTGGGATTTAGAAGGGGTCTTAGAAAGCCTTGCTCCAAGCCCCTCGCTTAACTGATCAGCTGATGGTGGCCCAAGGTCATAAAGGCATTGAACAGCAGAGCCAGCATCTGAACCCAGGTCTTTGGCGTCCATTATAGCCTGGGCTCTTCTCCCTTTACCTCACCTGTCACTAACTGCAGGCTCTGTTGTCTTATATCAGAAGCTCCTTGCCTTCATGTCAAAGACGTGGAGGCAGGACACCTGCCCTCTAGGGGCATGGCTCTGTCCCAAGTGGGCTGGGTTGGTACATCCAGGTATAGGTTGTCTCCCATGATAGAATGTAAGCTCTTTGAGAGCAGGGGCTATTTCTTTGTGTCCCTAGTGCCTAGCACAGTGCCTCACACATAGCTGGTGCTCAATAAATGCTCGTAAATGGATTGATTGTGTGGACACAGCTAGATGTGCTCCAGGGTGAGTCAGGCAGGCTGGGGGGAGGTGGTTATCAGAACGCTGGTCAGCAAAGTAGAGGTAAGGACACAAAGCTGCGCTGTCCAGGAGGTGGAGGGGCAGCAATAGTCCCGCTGTCTTCTACCCTGGTCAGACCACATCAGGAAAGGAAGGTCCTTGACCCCCAGGAGTTCACAGGAAGGGAACCTCAAGTCCAACCCTCTCATTTTACAGATAAGGAAACTGAGGCCACGGGGGTTTAATGACTTGCCCAAGGTCACACAGTTAATATAAAAGGCAGGATTTGAATCCACTTTCTCTGACTCCGGAACTTCTGCTAAGAAAATATAAGCAGGAGAATTAAATTACCTTTATGACATGTGGGTGTCACAAGGTTTTGTATGTAAGATGACGGCTTTTCCCCAGTAAACTCACAGAAAAGAGGAAAAATAGTCTCATGTGTTAGACTACTGTTAACAGCTTTTGGTGTTTGCTGGATTATTCGTGGATGTTCAACCCAAGGTCATTCATTCACGCAGCCTGGGGGTCCGGTCCTGTTGTCTCACCGTCCACCTCTCCTATACACCCTTCTCTCCATTCACACAATCCCTCTTGACCTCTCACCTGGATTATTTTTTCTTTTTATTGATTTTGTTAATATTTCCCAATTATGTGTAAAAAATTAATGATCATTTTTTAAAATTTTGAGATCAGAATTCTCTCCCTCCTGCCTGTGCCTCCCCTCTCCCTGAGAAGGCAAGCAATTTGATTTCTATTAGACATGTGAGGTCATGCAAAACATTTCCATATTAGCCATGTTGCCCCCCCCCCCCAAAAAAGGCAAAAAAATATCAACAGTTAAAACATTATGTTTCAATTTTGACTCAGAGTTCATCAGTCCTTTCTCTGGAGGTGGACACCATTTTTCATCACAGGTTCTTTGAAATTGTCTTAGATCATTCTCTTTATCAGAGTAGCTAAGTCTTTCACATTTGGTCACTGAATTATTATTTTAAATTATTTTTCCAATTAATAAAAATTTACTTTATCTTCATCCTTCCTCCTCCCACCCCTTAAAAAAATACCCTTATGACAAATATACAGTCAATTAAAAGAAATTCTCTCACTGTTCATGTGTAAAAAATATGCCATGTTCTGCATCCTGAATCCCTACCCTTTCTGTCGGGAGGTGGGCAGCACATTTCATCACTGGTGTTCTGGAATTATGGTTGGTCATTGGTTGGTTAATTAGTATTCTTTATAATGTTGCTATATAAGCTGCTGCTTCTGCTCACTCCACTTTGCATCAGTTCATACAAGTCTTTCCAGGGTTCCCTGAATCCATGCCCTTCATCCTTTCTCACAGTACAATAATGTTCATCCCATTCATAGACCAAGATTTGCTGGTAATGATAATTATAATAGCTGGCATTCATTTAATGCTTTAGGGTTTGCAAATTGAGTTACAAAATAAGCAGCTAGATAGAGTAGTGAGTGCATAGAGAGTAGGACTTTGGAGTCAAGAAGATGTGAGTTCAAAATTAAAGTCATTTAACCTCTGTCTGCCTCAGTTTCCTCATCTGTAAAATGAGGATAAAAATAGCATCTGCCTCCCAGGGTTGTTATGAGGATAAAATGAAATCAGACGTGTGTGTGTGTGTGTATTTTTTTTTTTTGCAAACCTTTAGGTGTTCTATAAATGGTAACTATTTCCTTGTTAGACGGTGAGCTTAAAGATCAGTTTCTGTTTTTCTTTTACTATTTCCAGTGCTTAGCACAGCCCCTGGCCCAAAAGGGCACACAGACACTTAATAAATACTAGTTGGCTGACTGACATCAGTGATCTCATTTGATCGTCAACAACCCTGCAGTGTAGGTACTATTATTATCCCAGTGTTACAGTTGAGGAAACTGAGGCAGACAAATTAAGTGACTTGCCCAGGGTCACACAGCTAGTAAGTGCCCGAGGTAGGATTTGAACTCGGGTTTTCCTGACCCCCCCACATCCAACACTCTTCAATCATTCCTGATTTCTGCATGTGTTCACAGGGTCACAGAGTTTGAGAGCCGGAGGGGCCCTCGAGAGCTACTTAGTGCAGCTCACACATGAAAGGAATGCTCAATAAAACCCATCCGCCCAGTGTATAATAATGACTTACATTAAAGTAAACTAAATAGCACTTACCACATGCCAGGCTCTGTGCTAGTCTCTCTACAACGATCATCTCATTTGATTCTCAAAACAACAATCTGGGGGTTAAGGGCTATTGTCATCCCCATTTTACATTTGTGGAAACTGAGGCAAACAGAGGTTAAGTTACGTGACCATGGTCACACAGCTAGTAAGTGCAGGAGGCTAGATTTGAATTCAGATCTCCCTGACTCTAGGCCTGGCACTCTGTGCGCTCAGATACCACCTGTGAGCTTCACAGGCAAGTAAGTAGCCATAAAACTCCCTGATGCAGCCAGAACCAAATTAAAATGTAATTGGAAACTGTCTAACAAAATAAATAAAAATAGATACAACATAGATAATGTTAGTTTGCTGTTTTCTAGTTAATGTACAGGACAGCTAGTGGTGCAGTGGATTGAGCCAGCTGGGCCTGGGGTTAAGAGGACTTGAGTTCAAATCTGCCCTCAGACACTTACTAGTTGTATGACCCTGGGCAAGTCACTTCACCCTGTTTGCCTCAGTTTCCTCATCTGTAAAATGAGCTGGAGAAGGAAATGGCAAACCCCTTCAGGATCTCTGCCAAGAAAACCCCAAATGGGGTTGCAAGTTGATGTACTGTGGGCAAGGATCTGATCGAAGCCAGCTTAGACCTTCACAGAAAGCCCCTCAACAATCAACGCCCTTGACAAGTGGTCATCCTGCCACCGCTCAACACATCCAGTGACAGGGAGCTCACTGCCTCCCAAAATAGTCCTTCAATTTTTGGACAGCTCTGACTGCTAGAAAATTCCTCCCCATTTAGAGCTGCCAATGGAGCTGTAATTGGCCATTCTGGCGCACTTGGGCTAAACAGCACAGGTGAGCTCAAGTCAACTTTAAAGACAAATTCAGTTTGGGGAGATGTTGGAGAAAGAAAAAGCCTTGGCCTCTGTGGGGTGCAGACACAAGAACACCAAGAGGTCACTGCTCCGGGGATACAGAACAGGATGGGGCTTGGGCCTGGGAGGAGAGCATGGTGATGTGGCATCTGTAGGAGAGAAAGGGGAGGTAGTTTCCTATCTTACTCAACTAATTATCCTCATTAACTAGATGCTAAGACCAGTTGTTTTTGCCTGATGGAGAGGTATAAAGGTTATCAGTGGCCTCTAAATTTTGGCTTCCTGAAGCAAAGGTCCAGTCACCCCACCCTAATTAAGGACTGGCTGTCAGTGAGCATTAGGCCCTGATGGTATCATAATGAGCATGTCTGGCAAATTGCATGACACTTCAGATCAAAGCAGGCACTGTGCACAAGCATGTTCTATATCCTGCGTTTAAAAAAAATCCTATAGAAGGCCCTGTGAACACCTCTACCCCATGTTAGTTCCTTTGGTAGCAAAATGGATAGCGCACTGGGCCTGGACTCAGGAAGATCTGAGTTCAAAACTGGCCTCAGATATGTCCTCGCTGCGTGACCTTGAGCAAGTCAGCTTCTGTTTGCCTCAGTTTCCTCATCTATAAAATAAAGATAATAATGGTCCTTATCTCCCACGGTTGTTGTGAGGATAAAAATGAGATAATTATAAAGTGCTTAGCACAGTAAACGCCATACAAATATTAGCTGTTATTATGTTTTGAACACATCCCTGACATTAGAGGACATACAAAGACAGGTGAGACCCGGTCTTTGTCCTTGAGAAGCTTACAACCTAGTTGGGGATACCCCTATACACATGTGGAAAGTTGATCTGGACCTGTGATCTCATGCATGGGGAACTTCCAGTATTCCAGCAAATATAAGACACCCACAATTCACAATCTTTCCAAAGGAAAGCATGTATTGATTATATTTGGTTTTTGCATAAATTACATTTCCTAATGTATCTCTCCCCTCAGAGAGTCATCCTATAAAACAAAGAATAAAAAAGGGGGAGGGGGGAGGAATGGGGCAGGGGGAGAATAAAAATTAACCAACATATGAGAAGACTCTGATGTTACATTCAGTATTCCACATCCATAGTCCCCCACCTCTGCCAAGAAGGGGCAGGGACTTTATCTTCTTTTATCTCTTCTTTGGAAACAAACTTGGTTCTTATAATTTTGACACATTCAGTCTCCATTGCTTTGTGGGGCTTTCCATTGATGTGGTTGTATACTGTTTTCCTGATTCTGATTACTTCAATTTGCATCAATCCAGATGAATCTTCCAGGCTTCTCTATACCTATCGCATCCATTATTTCTTACAGCAGAGCAATATTCCATTACATTCATGTACCATCGTTTGTTTAGACATTCCCCAGTTCATAGGCATTTACTTTGTTACGGGTTTTTTTGTTTTGTTTTGTTTTTTGCCATTACAGAAAGTGCTGCTATAAATAGTTTGTGTATATGTGACCTTTTTATCATTGACCTCTTTGGGCTATATTCCTAGCAGTGGAACCTCTGGTTCAAAAGGTAGTACTTTAGTCACTTTCTTTACGTAATTCCAAATCGTTTGCCCAAATGATTGGACCAGTTAAAGCCCCACCAACAATGCATGAGAGTGCCTTTCTACAATCTAAGACTCTACAGTGAGTTGTGTTTCTTCAATCCCTCTAACTCTGAACATTCCCATGTTTTGCCATCTTTGCCTATTTGCTTTCATGAGATGAAACCTCAGAGTAACACAATCTTTTTAAAAGTATTTATTTATTTATTATTCGTTTTCAATATTCACTTTTATAAAATTTTGAGTTCTAAATTTTTCCTCCTCCCTCCCCTCCCCTTCCCCAAGATGGCATGCAATCTGATATAGATTATCCATGCAAAATCTTGTTAAACATATTTCCACATTAGTCATGTTATGAAAGAAGAATCAGGACAAAAGGGGGGAAACCACAAGAAAGAAGAAACAAAAAAAGAGAATATAGCATACTTCGATCTGCATTCAGACTCCATAGTTCTTTCTCTGGATGTGGATAGCATTTTCCATCATGAGTCTTTTGGAGTTGCCTTAGATCATTGCATTGCTGAGAAAAGCTAAGTCTAACAAAGTCAGTCATTGCACAATGTTGCTGCAGAGTTAATCAAGTTCCTTAACTTAGGGTCTGCGAATTTGTTACACACACACACACACGCACACACACACACACGTATATATATATATGAATGTATATATGTATATATTGATCACTGTATTTCAGTAGAATTGGTTTCCTTTGTAATCACATATATTTTATTTTATGTATTTAAAAGCGTAATTCTGAGTAGGGGTCCAAAGGCTTTACCAGCCTGACTGCCTGAGAAGTCCATGACACCAAAAAGTTTAAGAATCCCTGTCTTGGACAGTTGCCTGAGACCCAAAGAGGTGACTTGCCCGGGGACACACAACCAGGATAAGTCAGAGTCAGGACTTCCTGACTCCAAGGCCAGCTCTCTGTCTCCACTACAATACACTGCTTCTCACTAACATTATGAGGGAATAATGGGAGACAAGGAGTACAGGTGTGATCACAAAGCAACCTAGGA